GTTTTGTGTCTCCGCCTAGTTAAATTTATGTCTAGAAACTTTGACTTGGGTCACGAAATCTATCGCTTGCACGCTACATGGACAACTATTTATAGGCGAACAATGTAGCACCTGTAAAGATTATGTAATGCCCAATTTATCGCTGCAGTTTAAATTACGGAAAATTTCTAACTGCTCGACTGTTCATCTGTAAAATGAATCTAATTAGCTTTCTCTTCCTGATCTATTTTGCTGGGAAGGAAAATTGACCAATCAAAATATTTCTTGGATATTGATGACAGTGAGTTAAAAACATTTAGCTCTATTTATAAGAAATATTTAAATTTCTTTTTGTTGGGAACTTGTGAGGGATGTGGCTCGAAATAAAACATTTACGCCATCGTTCATTTTATACATGACGTGAATTGAACATGAAAAACATTTTTCAAAATACTTTTTAAAAAAAGGCTTATATTAAGTGTACTTGTATAAATTAGTTTGAATCAGACTTGTAATTATGTGTATAACCGACCTAAACATATAAATCTGTGCGATAGAATTTTTTTTTAAACAATTGTTTTTATTTAGCTTCTAGCTTTCTCAATGCGCTATAATCCTATCACTTGTCTGGACCAGTTGTGGAAAGGGTAGGGAAGAAGGGGGTATCTTGTTCAAGATACCAAACCAAAGAATTAATCATCAATAGTTAAATAACTACATATATTAAACATAATATGAATAACAGCACCAGGGACCAAGTTTTTAAGAGAGAAAGGAGTGAATTAAAATGCAACGAAAATAAGGGCATGCGCCGACCGAGGCTCTAATCTGTGACTCTGGATTCGACACCACCGCCTAGCGATAACGCACCAAGCGAAACTAACCTCTAGACCATCGGAATGTCCCAAAAACATTCTTCTGATCCAGAGTCATTTCGCCCGTATGCAAATTACCACCCCACTAGAGTGGTGGTGTCGAATCCAGAGTTACAGGTTCGACCCTCGGTCGGCGCATGCCCTTATCTTCAGAGTTGAAGATAGTTTACTTCCTAGTCCAAACCTCCCGCAGGACGACGGGTGATGGGAGCGGGCAGGATTTGAACCCTCGACCATCGATAAATCCGAACGACAGTCCAGCGAGCAAACCGCACGACCAGGCAGCCATCCTGTTTTATGTTTATTTCAACAATTGTAATGTAAAAAAAAAAAAGGACAAAGTCATTCATCAACAATTAATATCTTGTTTATATCATTTACACCAGATTAAAAATTGCTATGCAAGACATAAACTTAAGTTATACAAAAACAAACCTTATCTTATCTTATACAATACAGACGTTACTTAAATAAAAAGAAGATGATTACGTCCTACGCGTCATGCATTTAGTCATGCATATTAACCAATTACCTAAATTCTCCCAAGTCACTAGTTTTCCTGGCTAGCTCGGCAAATATTGCAATGAGCAAACAAGAGTTTGACATCTTCTACAGGCATGTCGTATTAGCCACGTATTTTCTTACCCAACGCATAAGGGTTGCTTTCTGTAAATAAATATCACATGCATCCAACTGTTCGTACTAAACTTGTGCAGTTTTAAGCATTCCTCAATTAATATTGAAAAAGTAAACACGATATGCCAGTTTGGCCTTTCAATTCTACACTATGTACTTTCAGAATGTTTCACATGTACTTTACAGTAATGGTAAGGGAAAAAAACGTAGTTCCAAAGTTCAAGGCTGCAAAAGTATTTTTTAAGAGAGACTCTAGTCGGGTCTGGTAGGAAAATAAATGGACCTCATTCACCAATCGTAAACAAACAACATTTAGCCACGTGATTCTCTCTCTTCTATCCAAAATTACGATCTAATTTTTAATACACAATGGCTATCACGTGAGTTTTTTCCCGTTTTATCAATATTATCATTTGACTAAATGTTGTTTGTTTACGATTGGTGAATGAGGTCAATTGGGGAAGGAGCTGCTTTGGGTGCAATGTGTGTTTCATGTTTTAAAATACTTGCAAATAATTCTTTGGCTCCAACAAAACGAAACAATATACTGATTATAAAATTTTCAGTTTCACTTTCACCTATCCTCTAGTCTCTTGGACAGATGGGGCGCCACGCATGTTTCTCTCTATTCTTCTCTGTCTTTGGCCATGATTAGTCTGTTTCAATGACAGGCCCGTCTGCTTCTTCTTCTTTTCCCTGGGACTGTTTCCTGCAGAAAGGTCTTTGAGAGCAATGAGAAACTGGTGATATGTTGTTGTTTTTTTTACAGTGGTCAGCAGGTCGTTGAGGGATCAAATAGTCTTTGTGATCCTAGTTCGAATCTCATTTGTGATGCCTTCTTTGTAGATGATATCTAGAATCTTGTTATACTCTATACTACAGCATCTTGACTCCATGGCCAGGGAGGGCCCTCCGCTCTAAAATCCTTTCGAATGTCACCATGATAACCGCTATGACTGGAGCGCTGTCTGATGTTTGTGCTATGCCTTTGTCTTTTCAGATTTATTAAAGAAAAAAAGCCAAAATAGAGCACAAGATTTCACCAAGCGTTTAGTTTATATTTTGTAGATATATCATTTGTGACAGAGACTGTTTCTTATATATATATTATATATACATCATTTGTAACAGAGACTCTTTCTTTTATATATATATATATATTATATACATATATCATTTGTAACAGAGACTGTTTCTTGTATATATTATATAGATACATCATTTGTAACAGAGACTGTTTCTTATATATATTATATAGATACATCATTTGTAACAGAGACTGTTTCTTATATATATATTATATAGATACATCATTTGTAACAGAGACTGTTTCTTATATATATATTATATAGATACATCATTTGTAACTGAGACTGTTTCTTATATATATATTATATAGATACATCATTTGTAACAGAGACTGTTTCTTATATATATATTATATAGATACATCATTTGTAACTGAGACTGTTTCTTATATATATATTATATAGATACATCATTTGTAACAGAGACTGTTTCTTATATATATATTATATAGATACATCATTTGTAACAGAGACTGTTTCTTATATATATATTATATAGATACATCATTTGTAACAGAGACTGTTTCTTATATATATATTATATAGATACATCATTTGTAACAGAGACTGTTTCTTATAGTACGAGCTTCTGCTTAATAACCTTTCTATCTCACCAGGCAATGCAAAGTTCTGTACGGATATAGAAATGATGATTGGCTTCAGACCAAATCTCTACTGGCGAGCATGCTGGATGGTCATTACACCTGTGACCATTCTTGTAAGTAGACCAGAACAGTACACCTTTTTTATGTACGACTGAGTGAATTGAAAACTGACTAAAACTTTTTGACGATTGTTTAGTATCTGTAACTTAACTGTCCAATACAAGGAAGAATAATGCTAAAAACTTTGAGGAAAAAAACCTAGAACAAGTGTTTATCATGAAACACAAGCGGTGTTGCACTGTCGCGCTAGTGTGCAAATGCTCATAAATTATTAAATGTTTACAGTTTTTATCTTCTGTTGATCTTCAGATTGTCTTAGCATTGTCCTGTATCTTGTACACACCTGTTGGTTATGGAGATTATCAGTTTGAACCCTGGGCTCAGTGGTTGGGTTTTACAATGGTATCACTTCCAGTCGCAGCGATTGTATTTGTTGCTTTGTTCCAGTGTATACGTCATAAGGTGAGTACATTGTGCAGCAACTGTAAGAAACTATTTACATTCTGCAGTAACTGTAAGAAACTATTAACATTGTGCAGTAAACTATTTACATTGTGCAGTAACTGAAAGAAACTATTTACATTGTGCAGTAACTGTCAGAAACTATTTACATTGTGCAGCAGTAGAAATAAACTATTTACATTGTGCAGCAGTAGAAATAAACTATTTACATTGTGCAGCAGTAGAAATAAATTATTTACATTGTGCAGCAGTAGAAATAAACTATTTACATTGTGTATCATTCTGCAGTAACAAAGAAACTATTTACATTGTGCTGTAACTGTCAGAAACTATTTACATTATGCAGTAACCGAAAGAAACTATTTACATTGTGCAGTAACTGAAAAAAAACTATTTACATTGTGCAGCAACTGTAAGAAACTATTTACATTCTGCAGTAACTGTAAGAAACTATTAACATTGTGCAGTAAACTATTAACATTGTGCAGTAACTGAAAGAAACTATTTACATTGTGCAGTAACTGTAAGAAACTATTAACATTATTATATTATTGCAGTTATTCGAATCTGAATGTGAACTAAGGGTATCGGGGCTACATGATGGAAGGCCAACGCGTTTTTTTTTAATTAATAATTTTAAATTTTTTATTGATTCCTCATCAACAATGAATAAAATGTGCAAAGTTTCAACTTGATCCAAGAATGGTAAGTGGGAGAAATAGCATGTAAAAAAATACCCACTCGGACAGACGGACTAAATGTAAGTTTTATATAAAAAAAAAAGAATCATCTTGCCTCAAAGATCGCAAAGTCTGAAAGGGTACCTTTACTTTTTTTTTTTTTAACCAATATTGACTAACCCTATATATATATGTATTGATGTTTTCAAACTATTTTTCAAGGGCATCAAAGACGCAATGAAACCAAATTTGATGTGGGGCCCCGCTCAAAAGGAATACAGAATCGGATCCTATGGACATCTTAATGAGGGGCTCGTCATGGAGTCACCCACTTTTGAATTCGCTGTCGAAAAAGAAACGAAAATTATTGGAGCGATCGTGTCAAAGTTATAACACATTAATTATCTGTTCATTTGTTTCGTATCTTGACAAAGTAGCTCAGGTAATATACGTAGGAGAAGATACAATTTTTAAAGCTTTACACTGGAATCACTCAATAGCAAGGAAAATACAAACTCAAATATCAGATTCTCGCCTTTTTATGTGACTATAGTACAGAATTTTTAATCTGAATAATATCATGATTATTGTTTGTTACAGCTTGGTTCGAATGTAAAGTGGTTCTAATGTAAACTGGCGTGAATATAAAGTGGTGTGAATGTAAAGTGATGCATGTAAAGTGGTGTGAATGTAAAGTGATGTGAATGTAAAGTGGTTCAAATGTAAACTGGCGTGAATGTAAAGTGATGCGAATGTAAAGTGGCGTGAATGTAAAGTGCTGCGAATGTAAAGTGATGCAAATATAAAGTGATGCAAATGTAGAGTGGTGTGAATGTAAAGTGGTTCAAATGTAAACTGGCATGAATGTAAAGTGATATGAAATATACGAAGTGGTGTGATTGCGTGTATTGAATGGAAGTGACGTCAAAGAGAAGGAAGTCGGAAAATGGATGGATGAACAAACATGAACATTGTAGTAACATTCTTTATAACAATACTAGACATATGTTACCCGCGGGTCTTTATTTGCGCATTACTGTCGATATAGTCACTGAGAGTGTTTTGTAAACAATTAAACGAAATAATAATGTAATAAGTAAAGGAATGTGTCAATATAAAAATAGTGTGAATGAAGCTCTCAAATCAAAATAGCTAATAGGCTTAAATCCATTTGTTCAAATTAAAACATTTGCTTGTAGATTAAAATTAAAATTTGAGATGAATATACTTAATTTTGTATGTTCGTGTGTTACAGTATAAAGTAGATCTTGAGGTAGACATAGATCTATATCTACACTAATCTAGAGTTAAAAAATGGCTTTTATAGAGTTCATTCTGTGTTGCCCATGCGTGACCTTTTTTCATGAATGAATATAGGCCTATCTCAACACGGCTACGCAGCTTTATTTAGCGAACAGCGAACGAATGTATTAAAAATGCTTTAGAAAAACAAATTTGAATGTTAATTTGATTAAAATATGAAATGAATAAACAATAATTAGAATGTTTATGTGTTAAAGCATAAAACTATCTTTGCGAAAAGAAGTTTTATCATCTTAGAGTTCAATAAGAGTTTTAGACCTAGGCCTAGGAATAGACTCAGTAGAGAGATGTGTTAATCGCTGTTAATGTGTAACCATTCGGTAATGTCTAATGAAAGGATGTTCGCCAGGAAATCTGTAGTCACAGATATCAGGAACTAATTTATGTAAAAAATGCTTTTGAAACACAAAATTGAAGGTTAATTTTATTATATATTGATATTAATGGATCTTCTTTTGTATTTTCAAGTGTCAAAGTAAAAAACTACCTGCGCAAAGTGTATTTCTTAAAATTAGATCTAGGTCTAAATCCTTTCGATCTTTTCTCATGTCAACATTGTTAACCATGGCCTAGATCCATAAATACTATAGCTTTAATAGAGTCGGACTACTTTTTTTTTTTTTTGAGGGTCTTAAGTTTGTTTGAGGGCTACAATACATACACTACGGTCTAAGTTAGTACCCAAGGAACATTCCTGCCTAGTTTTATGTAGACTGGTGAAGCGGTTTTGATGTCTATAAGTAACATACATACGCCTCACATTCTGCTTATAAAATAGGATTTCAGAGTTGTGAATATATTTATTATTAGAGATTCACATTGTTCTTTTGTTCATTTTCTTCATTCTCAAGCAAAAATAGTACACATGTCCTGAGTTGTTTTTAAATCTTGGTTAAAAACGAAACCTGAATTCTTAAAACAATATGCAGAATTTTTATGGAGACACCAGATTAAGTTGGGATTTATTTGAAGAAAAGACTAAAATTTGTCAGACATAGTTAAACCAATCTCAGTTTAAACGATCTCACATGCAGACTACAGTTTCTTGTACCTACATCTCTGGTCTGGTAACTAATGATTTCATCTCTTGTGTTTTCTGGTTGTTGTTTTTTCTGTTCGTTGTCATATAAAGTTTTATATATATACGTATGTCCTACTATCCAGGCTCTCTTCAAACTGCACCACACGACACAACGAACTTTAAGAACCTCACAACTCATCAGGGCTCCAAAGTAACAGTAACAGTTTAATTTCAAATGCATTACATTACAAACACTGTACAGTTGGCACAACATTACACTGACTGTCCAAAAACCAAGCCTCACTCACTCCGGACTGACTTCACTCACGTCTTTTTTTTTTTTTTTTTTTTTTGGGCTCATGCCTCTTTTTGGGCCTTTTTTTTTAAATAAATTTTTATTTCAAAGAAAACACATAACATGTTATTTTATATTAATAATAGGCCCCCCTAATACCAAGAATATTTCATAAAAACAAATTTTTATAAAGGAAATAGTTTCAAAAACACATTCCAGGACTTCCAGCATTATCGTGGAGTCGGCTGCAGCAAAGGTCCATAAAATGATGACAACAAAGGTCTACAAAATGATGACAAAGTCAATTTACAAAAATCTTGAAAATTTTGTCCGATCAAATTTTTTTTTTGGGGGGGGGGGGGGGGGGGGTATATAGAGTCTCTACAGGCCTTCCAGAACCGGATGGAACATCGCTTGACCACTCAGGTTGTTTACATTCGCCGTGACTTGCGTGCGTAATATTTACGACACAGGCCCTTGCCGAACTGGCGTGTACTGTCACTCGTCACGGTCAACCGTTCGTCTAGCGCTGACCTGGGGCGATTGGCGTAGTCTAAAAACACACAGCACGACCCCCATCTGTCTCACCACCAGGTTTATAACACTGTCCCCCTCCTTAGATTTGTACGTCCCAGACAGCATCCATCTCATGACGTGGGATGTGTAGTTTTATCGATGCATGTGGGGGTCGATCGTTGTGGGTGACAGGGGGCTTGCCTCTTGAGCTAGACGTAGCCATCCACGTCGCATTCATCAAATGTCGCTTTCGTCTTCTCCTCCAGTTGACCGTCACCTGGTTGCACTGACGTCGTAGTTGCATCGCCATGCACTTTGAACTCAGCAAACATCGCCTTCTTCTGTCATTCACAACTGACGGCAGCCACTTAACACATGGGTAGGAATAGGATTCTAGGACCGGGGTCACCAAGATCGTTGGTCTATCAGGTTGTTTCACAGGGCTTTCAAGAGAAGGGCTTTGGGAATTGGTTTCGGGTCTACACGAGGGGAAATAGTGGCACACATCATCTTTCGCCTTGTCAGGATGACATACTAGTTGGTAAAGCTCCGCATGCTAAGGTCCCTCATCTTCAGCATCAGGCTCCAGTTGACTTCCTTGACCACCATCAGGGCTTCTCCCTCTAGTCTCAGAGCGGACCACTCGTCTGTTGGGTTCAGACCTTGTCGATGACTTTCTGCTTGCAGGGGTCCACCAACTGCTGCATCAGGTTTCGTTGCATTCTCCTGAACACCACCAGGACTTCTCTGGCGTGTACTGGCACTCGTCACGGTTGACCGCTTGTCTAGCGCTGACCTGGTGCGATCGGCGTAGTCTAAAAAACACACAGCACTACCCCCATCTGTCCGTGACCTCCGTGACCCCAGGCCGTAAGACTGGTTCGTGACGTAGTAGGTCAGCGACCATTGTTTTTTATCGTAACCAATGTCGAAGGCGCTGATCTGTCTCACCACCAAGTTTATAACAATATATTAATTTCTTTAACTCTTATCTAAATCTCTAGAGTCGTATCTCTAGGATTTCATAGCAGTGCTGTTTATCTCTACTGCATGTATCCCTGATATCTCTATATCTAGTATATAAATACAGGGTCGGATTCAGTATGTGTAGGCCACTACAATTTTTTTGAAAGCTTTAATAAAGATCCACTCGTAAATGAAAATACTATGCTATATTTTAGAAAAAAAGTTCTTGTAAATTTTATCTCAATTTCCTTTTTTTTTTTAAATTTATATGCATATGTTAGTTTTAAAAAGTTTTTTTTTTTTTCAGTTTGTGAAGGGTAAAGTCCTCACTGTCGTAAAGCCTGAGCTGTATTTACTACGAGCATGCTACAATCGTACACTTCGTAATCACATTTTTGACAGTCGTAAAAATGCGAAAATAATGTTGGAAAAAAAAGTTTATGACCCGTCGAAATTTGGATCATAGCCGGCCTTAGACCGCAGGGGGGGGGGGATCCCCGCGCTTTCACTGGCCCCGCGCTTATTCTAGGTGTAAATTATTAAATTAAAACAGTATAACTTATAAATAATGACAGGGTCTTCGCGGCCTCCTGATTTTCCAGGACCTCCTGGAACTCTCCTAATATTGCAAAATATACGATAGAAGCTTTTGTGTTACGTTTACCTTTATTATCGAGAAAGCATAGATTTATAGTCTATATAATCTTCATGACAGCTGCTACTGTATCATGAACAAAAAATATACATTTGTAATCCTTTGGAGATAAGAGTCTAAAAACTGGTATAATTTCAAATAAAATATTTCTCATAGCAAATACATGAGAATGTATTCTTAATGGATGCATGGTCATTATCCAAAGGAAGACAACTCTGTCAACAACATTTGTAATGAAATTATCTCCCTTAGTTCTAGTCTTGTGCCAGGGAGGAATATTCAGATATTTTGACCATGTCCGAGGTGGCATCGTGGATTTCTTCCTGGCACTCTTCTCCCGTGACAGAGTCGCCGCCGTCAAAAGTGTAAGGGAGAGAGAACATGACCTTAGAGGAGCCGCCGCCGTCAGAAGTTAAGTCCAGAGACTTAAGGCTTGGTATGACTATACTATTGATCCACTCAGCCGTCTTCACACAGGATCGACAGGAACATCTCTCGGGGTGTTTTGTAGAGTCGACCTGTGACACAAGATGTGACAAAAACACTTTAACAAGATGTGAACAAAAAAAATTTAACAGTATGTGACAAAAACACATTAATAGTATGTGACAAAAAAAAACTTTAACAGTATGTGACAATAACACTTTAACAAGATGTGACCAAAATAACTTTAACAGTATGTGACAAAAACACTTTAACTAGATGTGACAAAAACACTTTAACTAGATGTGACAAAAACACTTCTCGGCATGAGATTATTTTTGCAAAACTTACAATGTTTATTTTTTTGTTGAAACTAAAATTTGACAAGATGAAAACAATGTTGAAAATATTTTTACAAATTAACTGAGAAAGTTATCTTACAATTTAAAGACGTCGTTTAAAAAACAACCATGTTCAATTCATCTGTGGATTTAGTTGTGTATATATTAATTAAAGATTTGAACTCCACGCCATTTGGTTTTCTGTTTCGGCAAATTCATCCTTTACTTTGTTTAACTTAAATCTTACAGATGATCCTTCAAAAAAAAAAGAAGATAACCAAGTTGTAAGCGTATCCATGTCTTGATGTTT